GGGATTACTTTCTTAAAAGGAGTAAACGACACCGTTGCCCAAGATATTGAGTGAAAAAGTATGATTAAAATGAAACTCTTTCAAATTTAATCACTTTGCTAATCAAGGTTAGGCCAGTGTGGTTTGGATTTATGCCTTAACCTAATGCAAAATAAAAGGAAAAAGGAAATGAAAATGTAAATGTAAATGGCACACTTGTGCAATTGAAAAATGGAAATTGCTGGACTCATTATTATTAAACAGTAGCTTTTAAGCAGAGTGGGCTCTCTTGAACATGTCCCGAGTCATATAAAGTTAGCACTTTGTGGTAAATATGAGGAGAAAATTCTCAAATATTTGTAATCATTTTACAATAAAAGTTCAATTTACTTTTTAACATGGAAAGGGATCTCCATAAGATCCTCTCGTGAAACACAAAGACAAGTAGATCTAATTATCAACCTTTTTTTTTCTTTTTTTCTTTTTTTTTTTTTCAATATATGGTTTCTATTAAAAATCAGTATATAAAATTTTGTTACAATGTTTTGCATGGTGTTGTGCTAGGCATTTTGATGATATTATTAGGTTATCTAAATTTGAATTATCAATTATCTTACTGATGATGAGGATAATAATTAATGGTGACACTCAAAATACTTCATTCTTGACTGATTACATTAATGGAGTTAAGTTAAATCATTTCTAAATTGATTATATTTATCCTCATAGGAAACCCTACCTAAATAAAAGCAAGATTATTATACCCTCTACCCCAACTAGTGCCACTTATGCATTCATTTGAATCTAATCCTTCCATATATATGACAATATATTAATGATATATAGACACATATATAAATTACAATACCAATGCAGATCAAGATTCAATTAAGCAGGAAGTTAGAATGAGAAAGAAGGGGTTGGGGGGTGGGGTTAGGTGAAGATTGAACTGCAAATTGATAAGTTACTAAAATGCATGGGAAATAAAAGAGGGAATAATCAATTAGAAAGGAAATGGAAGAGGAAGAAATCTAACCTAGGATGTTGGGTGTTTTTCACCACTTTCTGGCCATATTTTCTCCACTTGTAACCATCATCTAAGACATCTATATCGCTCAAGGTCTTGAAGCAGAACCTGGGCTCTCTTACCTTTCTTCTTGTCTTAATCTTCTTCATCTTCATTGCCGAAACCCCGAGATAATTTTCCTCTCCGCTTCTCTTGATGCTCATGGTATCATTCATTTCATCCCATGCCCTATTAATAAAACATAACTATGAAGTAAATGATTTATTGGTAAACGTAACTAGAAAGGACTTCAGAATTCGTTTTCTTCATCAATATTGTTAAGTGCTATCTAATCCCCTACTGAAGGTGCCAGAAGAGTTTTCTACTTGATGTTTGTGAGACAAAAAGAACAATAATTTTTACCAGTAATTTGGAGTGGATCTTTGTGAAGACAGAAATTGGGATCCTGCAGATTGATATGGAATCTCTTCTTTTTGCTTTAGGGCAAAGGACTCGGAAAGGGTAACCGGTGCATCTACTGCAAGAGAAGGAGGTAACATGGCAAAATTTTTAAGGGATTGACTGCACCCTAGTTGAAAAGAGGTAAAGTTTGAATGAATAGGGAAAAATCCAAGTTGTGATGACAAATCTTGATCCTCAAATAAACTCTGGTTGAGCATGGTTTGGGACGCAGTACTGGACATCTCTTCGTGCATACGTTTAATGGTGTAGAAGATCGGAGACGACACCAGTTTGGTTCGTTCAAGAGGGAAAGAAAACCATTTTTTGTTGACGGTGTGTAATGGCCAGTATATATGATATTTGTTGCTAGTCTAGGTTAAAGAATAAAAGGGATTCTTTCATACTTCTAGAATAGAGATACCTGTTATTAATAACAGAAGTTAAATTAAATTGAACAAAGATTTATCGTGAAATTAAGAAAATGCCAATAAAATACAAGAACAGTTACTTTAACTGTGAAGCAAAACAAGCTCACATGCACAACAATAAGGAGGATTAAATTATAATATTTTTTCCACCGATTTTTAAAAAAAGTATAAATATTTTTTCTATCACAGAAATGTAAAAGTCAATGAATGGACTATGGACTTATTAATTGTTTGCATATTTTTGTTACTTGGGTGCATTTTAGTCAAAATCCATGGGAACAACACGTTTCGAATAAGCGAGCTCCAAGCTTAACCTCCCTCTTGTTTATTGGCTTGTTCAGTAGTAATTATGAGAATTAATTTTTGGATCGTTAGAGAGAAAGTAAGTCTCATCTGTAAAAAAAAGAAGTAAAAAATGACGGCTGACTTCAAGGAGTAACGATCAAGAAATTGCTTTTCTTGTAATGAAAAATCCGAACCAAACATGCAATATATATGTTTATATAACCAGTACTATAAAGTAAAGGTAAAGAAGAATAAACTTTGCATCATGCATAGACTTAACTTGGTTTCATTTAAGTCAACTACATAGTGTACGATATCCCCCATTTGACATTGAAAGCATGGAATATCTGTGTCTTATAAGGTCAAAAATAATACATACAACAATAGGAATGTTGGGGGGCAAATGAGCTCTATAATCGATGTAGTTTTACTTTTGTTTTTTACTAGTGCAAATGGGTCATCAACTTTTCTGCCGTGGGCTGTGATCTCACATGGATCCAATGGTAAAATTAAAGTGAAGTACATAGATGAGTACAAAATAATACACAGAAAATTTGAAATAAAAAAAAAGTGAATTAAGAGTTTGGGAGTGATTTTGAGAATTATTTTTTGACAATTGGGAGAAAAGTGGGGTCTACATGTGAGAGAAGAAGTCAAATATGACGACTGAAATAGTGAAATAAAGGTCAAAAATTCAATTTTTTGGGGACAAAAAATCGCTCCCAAACAAGCTGTAAATTAAAACCTTGTCTGGTCACTATTTTTGACAAAATATTTTTTTATTATTGGTGATTTGTGGACTCTGTAAAATTAATTACATTTTTAAAGACAATTTTTAACAAGGATTGCAAGAGTTGCCCATAGACTCATTTGTGTTCCTTTCTCCAATTACCATTTCATCCTTTATTGAATTATGAAGGTAAAAAAATGTTTTTCAATC